TTTGTTTTTGTAAAGCAAAAGTAACTTTATGGATAAAAGTATAAAAGCAATTGGATTAGAAGTGTGCTTCTAGCTAAAGTTACTTTAGTGTTAGTGGCTTCTGGGGAAAAAGAATTGGTTTAGGATAGGCTTGCTGTGTTTGTAGTGCATTTTAGTTGTTCTGTTTTGTTAGTTGAGATGCATGATTCCAGTTCTTAATATTGCAACCTTTTTTCACATTTCTGAAATTTAAAGGAGCAATGGTGTCTTTAAATTCAATGCTGCTTGGACAATTAGTTTTTTAGTAAGAATTTTGCCTATAATTATTGTTAAAATCACAAGATACTCTTCTTAAACATTGATATTTATTTTAAGGTTCAAGGAATGCAAGCAAGTCAGAAGAAAACTTGGTAACTCCAAAATGTGACAATAAGGTAGTTCACCGTATGTCATGGAATAGTCCTGCTGTTATGGATTCTCAGGTGATCAGCAAGAGTGAGCAGATTCTGCCAGGACACCCTGAAATGAGAGTTGGCTCTTCAGAATCTGTTTCGTTATCTGGAAAGCCACCACTTGTTCCAGATGAATTCAAATCCACAACTGTAAGCAAACAAGACAACAACTTGGAACTTGTGCTTTCTGAAGAGGAAAGTAACTCAACTGCAGAAACGTTACTGAAAGTTAAGCAAGCCTTCTCTGCATCTGGAAGTATTCATCACAATTTGATAGGTGATAAGTTTTCTCTCATGACTGTGGCAGGTGAAACATTAAATGAAACTCTGTGTCCCACGGGGCTCGCTCCAGGGAAAGAATTGCTAACTGAAGAAGTTTCTGAAAATCTAGCAAATGTAAAATCCAGAGAGCTGTTGCACCAACTTAATCAATCTTCTGCTGCTGATAAACAGCAATCAAAACCCCCTGAAATTAAAGTTTTGGAGAAAAGAAACTTTAAAACATCTCTTGAGATTGAACTTCAGGTCCCAAAACTAGATACAAAAAAAGCAACAGAATTTCCTGTGCCTCAAGTACTGGACAGGGGAGACAAGTTAACTGTTCAGAACAGTTCAACAAAAGATGACTTAAACAAATTAGATTTCTTTGGAAGGAAAGAGGAAATAGAATTAATACACTCGCAAACAGCTGAAAACTGTGTGGTAAAATGCTGTAATTTAGAAGAAGGTACTGCTAAACTTTCTTCAGCAGGACAGCTTCCTACTTTACAGTTGCCTAAATTGCAAAATGAAGTAGGCAACAAATACTTGAAAGCTGAAAATTCTGCTAAAACTTTAACTAAAACATCAACTGTTTCTGATAGTGGAAAGGTTTCTGACCACATACAGTGGTTCAACAAGCTTTCATTAAATGATCCAAGTTCTGCAAGCGAAACTAAACCACCTCTGAAATTTCAACGTACTCCAGTTAGACAGTCTGTAAGAAGAATGAATTCCTTGTTGGAGGCTAACAGACGATCTGTAAGCTCTCAGCCACTTAAATCAAGCAGTGTTTGTTCACCACTTGTTAAATCTTTGAGCTGTGATTCTGCACTATTCTCCTGCACAGAAAAGCCCTCAAAGAATTCCATGGTTTTGCCGTGCAGGAGTGAAAGTATGTGTGACCAAATTTCTGTATCTCATAAGCAGCTAGACTTAACATCTAAATCACTTTGCAGGCCATCAAATCCATCAGAGAAGCCTGATGTTTCTGTCAGACCTGCTGGAATCCATGATCAAAAAGTGACTGTTCATCCATCAAAATCTGTTCTAGAAGATCTAACCAATCATGAAACGGTTAAATCCAGTTTGAAAGTTAATGCAAATATAAATATTCAAGGTGCTGCCCCAGAAAAATCTACAATTGCAAGAAGTGCTCCAGGAAAAGAAAGAGTTCGTTATAGAGGTTCTCCAAAGAATCCAATATCTAAAGTGAAGTTGCTACCAACTGCAAAGCCAGTAGACTTATAAGATCAAATATCATGTCTAAACGGGTTCATTGTAACTTGGTTAACCTTTAGAAAGATCTAAATTTTTATGACTTTTTTAAAATTCTAATTATTTGTAATTTTTGATTTATTTTAACTGCGTGAGTTGTGGAGATGTACAAATATTAATTTGGTTTGTGTTGAGGTTTTCTTCATTTACTGAAACTTCTGTAAATGCTAGTCAGTTCAACTAAATGAATTTAACTTCTAAAACAAAAATAACCTGTTTCTACAAATGTTTGTGTTAGATCTCAAATTTGATTATTTAAGCTTCTAAAAACATGCTGCATCTCCCAAAACAGTTTTTGCAGTATTTAGATTAAGTACCAAGTTTAAAAAAACCCCAAACTTCTCAAATATTTAAAACAAAACTAACAGACATCGGAAAGAAAATATCTTGATGCTGAGTAGTGGTAGTTAAAGCTATTTACTTTTTAGTTTTAAGTGTGTTGTAGCACTACTCGATACTACGAAGTTGGATCTTATATGAGCCTACTTCTTCTGAGACAATGTTTTTTATTTCTACTGGAGTAAATTGGGAGCATATTTTCCTTATTGAGTAGGTAAATGTCAAAATAAAATTCGTGCGTGCACACACACTGGAGAATTATTAGAACACATGGAAAACAAATGTGAAGTTTATTCAAAAAGCAAAAAAAACTTAAAAACTTCATCCAGTGATGTGCTCTGCAATAGGTACCAAGTATTTTCAGTTGTGAGCAGTAAAATGTTTTATTTTAATATGAGAGGGGAGTTTTAACTTATTTTTAGAGCAACAGAATAGTGTTAACTAGATGGTGCAGAAGCTGGTTTTAGATGCTGAAAGTGTTTCAAGAGATGAATGTAAGAAGCCATAGTGTGTTAAAAGTTGATTCGCACAGCAAATGTTTATATTTTTTAGAATGAAAACTGTTTATGTCTGTCATCAGTTGTAAAATTATTTAAGAGTAAACACTTGAAACTATTCATTAGCTTTTTATAAATGCGAATGGTTTATTGGCAAAATGTTAGAGCTGAAGCACTGAATATTTTGGTTTTAATAAAACCATTGGTTTTTTCCCTTTTCTGAACTTGTTCTTCTCTAATGACTTAGAAAGTTAGATCATGTTGTTATATGCACACTGTAGGCACCAAAATTAGTAAGGCTGAGAAAACTGAAGTCAGAAGCAAATTTGTTCTGGCTGTCTTTTTTGTTCATCTTAGATACAGTTTGGTGATTCTCACAACTAACAAAAGGCATGGTGCAACACAGTTTATCAGCAGTAGTCTTCTGACCTTCTTAAGCAGTATGTTAATAAAAGGAATAGTTCTTTCTGTTCCCTGCCTCCTTCCCTATGTGTCTGCCAACTTGCAAGCTGAATCTGTCCAGCTGGTTGATCTGGTGGAAACCTCCTCTCTCACTCTGTTTGCTACATTACTGTTAAGATCTAGGACTATGGAAACAGCCTTTAGAATATCTTAACAGGATTGTTTGGTGTTGTGGTTAAATATGGGAAGCTTCAGTTTCATGAAATAAAGGAGTTGATGTAACAGTTCACCACCATCCAAAGAGGAAGCTCCTTCTCTTGGCAACATGCTCTTACCCTCTGCCTTTAACTGGTGCTGGTAGATCCTTCACTTGATTAAATGCAGGCACCAGAGCACCACATTTTGTATCTTCTCACTGAGGTAAATAAGGATCAGCAAAACAACTGCCAGCTTTCATAGCGGAGGCAAGGATGTAGGAGCTGAAAATAGGACAGAAGGAAATGAAGGCAATGTCAGGAAGAAAATGAGATCTGACTCCTGTAATAGTGAGCTGTCATATCAATTTTTGTTTGAAAGAGTAAGTCTTGAGATTTTTTTTTTCCTGTTAGTATGTACCAAATATTTTGAATGCTAGTGCAGCTTTGACAATGTGTCCCAGATGGAGCAGTAAGCTACTTTTGATGATTGATGCAAGCCAATCTTGAACCACTGGACTTAGATGTCAGAAAGGGAGAATTTGGTAGGGCCTTGACAAAGAAAGCCTTAAATGCCATAAAAAATTGTCAAAGTTTAGGCTGTTTTTACAGGTTTTGCAGAACAGTTTGGATATATATCCATTTCTATAAAGTTGATTATGTTTTGCAGAAAGAAACACTAGATGCCAAGTAGAAGTCCCTACTGCTTAATCTTGCTTGTATAATGTACTATAGAACAGCAAAAAGAGAGAATAGTCTACATTTGAAAGTGTAGGCCATGGTTCTCTTGGGGTTTATGTAGTATAATCTCAGAGCTTCTCTTTAGCTAGCTATCCTAAAATGGAATGTGACACATTCCCATCAGTAGCAGTGAAGATGTGATACGTAAATTAGCCTTTAGAAGTTACCATTTTGACAAGTGGTATTATGTGGTGCACTTCATTCTTTTAAGTTTTCTTCTTGCTAACCTTTGCTATGTGTATAGATCTGCTTAATCTGGGGACCTTCACCTATAAATCCTTGGAGACAGCTCCCATGTTGATACCTTGTAAACCTGTAGTTAGGTAAATACTATCATTCCATAAGTAAATCATATTATTCTGGGAAGAGAAATCACAGTGAGAAGACGGATACAGTCCCAGGAATATGTAATAGCTTATTTCTGTAACTGTTAATCCATCACAACCCTTCAGTTTTATTTTTAGACTTGTGTTTAGCTGAAAAGGGAGATCTTTAATATCTCCCCGAGCTTTGTGTCATCTTCTTAACGGGACGAGCCCACGCCACGAGGGCACGGTCCCTGCACATACCTCGGGCAGCTCCCGGCGCGGGGGAGAGGCCCCGTGTCCCCGTGTGTGCGCACGGAGGATGCGCGGCCGCGGAGCCGCCCGCACCCGCAGAGCCGCGCTGGGAGCGGGAGGTGAGCGGGAGGGGAGCGGGAGGTGAGCGGGGCGCTCCGCGGTGCGGCGGGGCCCGGCCCGGCCCGGGGGGTCCGTGTGCCGCAGAGTGCCCTGGGGCCGGCGTCCACGGGCCAAGCTTTCCGGGGGGGCGGCACAGAAGGGCGCGGTGGTGCGGGCAGCGGAGTGGCAGCCCTGCTCCTCTGCGGGTTAAAGGGAATGTCCTGTAGAAAGCGGGCTTTTTTCCTCGATACAGAGGCTGCAGAGGCTGCTGAAGCGGGAGGGTTGCGAGGGGCGTGCGGTGCGGTGGGGGAGCCGCGCACAGGCGTAGCTGGGAATATTCCCAGCATTGGGGTTTTCAGCCATTTTTGCCTCAAAGACGTTTCCAGGTGCCTTGCGTCGAGCGGCTGGAGTATTGGAGCATCTTTAACTGTCTGGAGCGGAGAAATCGGACAGCTGTACGTGTGTTAAGGACACACGGGAGGGCACCAGGGGGAGTGGAGGGGTTTTTGTTTATCTAAGGGATTGGAAGTGATGCATTTTAATTATTTTCTGATGTGAGGGGAAAAGGAGCTTTGAGAAAACAAGCGTTGTAATTAAAATTCGGCCTTTCAAAGAGGTGGTAAGTGGTGCTTGGTTGTTGTTTTTCTTTTTGTTGTTGGCTTTGGGGTTTTTTTTCCCAATTAAACTATACTGAGCAGCCATTAGTGAAAGGGATTCAAGGAAACAAACCAATTTGCTTCAGGTGGGAAAGATGATGCATATGAAGTAGGAAGCCTTTTGTTTTCAGCTGCAAAAAACCCATATCTAGGTTGTTCAGAGGTCTCTCATTATTCATTTTGCAGTCAATGCAAGAGTAGAGCTTGGAAAATACAGTTCCTGCCTGAACAGTTCTTAGTCCAGAGCTTTATAAAATAGCATAATAAGCATGGGGGGGAGGGGGAAAGGGGAGGGGTGTAGTGGATGACGTATTCTCATTAAATGAAAAAGTGGATTAATTTTGTTTGCAGTGACTGTTAATGAATGTTATGGGCAAATACAAATCAGAAAACTGATTTCTGCCGTTTGCTACTTAATATTTCTTTTAAAAGGGAAGAACGAACCCACCCTGTTCCCCCCCCCTCCCAGTTTCCACCTGGCTAGACTTTCAGCTGCCCCTAGAAGCTGTGGTAGTAAACTGTTATGTCCGGTGGTAATATCAGATGTTATTTCCACCATGTGTACAGGACTTTTTTTCCCACTATAATTTATAATCAAATTATTTTCTTTTTCACAGGATAAAAGTGGCTACCACTATGATAACTACCTTGTTTTGCAACATGATATTTCTGCTGGCATTTGGATTGGCTTCAGCGTTTAGCCACAGCCCTAGAATGCCTGACAGGGTTACTGAAGCAGATATACAAAGGCTCCTCCATGGGGTTATGGAGCAGTTGGGCATTGCCAGACCCCGTGTAGAATATCCAGCACACCAGGCTATGAATCTTGTTGGTCCACAGAACATTGAAGGTAGCTGATTTCTACTTTGACTTGTGATGAATTTATTAGTACGCTTCGGTAATAATTAATATTTTGTTTATAGATGCAGAAAGAATATCCTGAGTTTAAAATCATGGACTTCTTCACCATGTTGTTGCTTGATCTTTGTTTTAATATCATCATTCATCTTCTACCTTCATTAATGTAATGATTTTGGCAGAAGTAGTGGGGTTTTTTAATGTACAGGCTTTGCAGAAAAAGTTACATTACCTTAGCAGTGTCTGATCTCTAGTACCTCAAAACTACAGCTTTACTAAATTCTGCCTGAATATTGTGCATAAATATATGTTCTATAATAAACAAATGTGACCTATAGAGTCCAGATCTCTTGGATCTTTATAAATATTTGCAGACCAAAAGAGATCAAGTGTTTGCAGTGGCATGCAAGATAAAGGGATAAACCTTACATTGGGATTTTTCCTTCATGCTGCAGAACCCTGTAGGATTCTGCAGGATCCATTCTGGAGCACGCAGGGGGAAGCCAGGGCTCGAGATGCAGGTGGGAAGGATATGGGTGCTCCTCTCCCTGCATCTGTAAGTAGCACCTCAGCACTGTATTGCTGTGATGAATGCTCTGGGCTCAGCTTCATTTGTTTTGGCCAATACCTCTGATCTCACACTAAGTTTTCCTTGGAATAAGTCTTTTATAGCTATGTAAATCATCTGAAATATCTGGCTTAAATGTTAGAGTATTGTGATAGTGTTACAACGTGTTGCTATTTTAACTGTACAAACTAGCTTTTATTTTGGCATGACAGCAAAAGCTTGCAGGTATGCAACTCCAAATATTATTGTTTATGTTCGAACAACATCAAAACAGAGCAGAAGCTCTCAATCCTTCTCTCGGAATTAAACCACTTTGACACAGTGTAGCAAGTCTCCACATTCCATAAGTCTATGTTCTTTATTTTATCGTCATTCTGATCTACAGACTATCCTATCCAAACAGATACAATTGCTCTAATGGAGGCTAAGGAGAGGATAAAAACTGAATAGGCATTTCTACCAGATAATTGCAGACCTAACTTTATAAATTTTCTAAAGAAACTTTGATGGACATATGTTTTTCTGCAAACTTAAATGACAGAGACTAGACTTAAAGAGTATAATTTGATCTGTGCTCTTTTCTCCTCTTTTATGAATGTTCATAAATGGAGAAATTAGGACAGACTGGTAGAGTAATTTTACTCTCTGTCTTCCCCTTTCCCCTAGACTTTAAAAAAAAATCCTTAAAAAATATAAGCAAATCTGAATCTCTGGCAAGTACTTAATCTCAGCTGTTTACCATTACTTTCTAATTACAATATTAGCAAAACCAAAATAGGAATCTCTTAATATTGAAAATTTTCTAGTGCTTGCGAGACTCAAATAATGCTAGTTTTTGTCATCCATACAGTCTTTCACAAACAGCAGGTTGACATTTTTTTTTTTGTTTTACCTACTTTTTTTTTCTTGTTTTCTCTCGTTTTCTCTCGTTTGGTTGGTTTTTTGATATAAAAAAACCCCTGTGTATATAACAAAGTGAAAGGTGATAAATCCAGTTAATTTATCATATTTAACACTCTCCTCTTGATCACGAGGATGTCTCTTTTTTTCCTCAAGCGTACCATGGGTATTTAGCATCCTATTGAGATATTTCTGCAAAAGAAAAATGGTCTTGTGAGATGACTGCTGTCAGTCAGTGTAGAAATAGACAAGCAAATCAGACCTTTGTAACAAATGCTGCTTTTCATGGAATGTTCTGCAGTAAGTTTTTCAGGTAGTAATCACTTGCTCTTTCTTTGGTTTCTTGTGATGATATGTGTCTATTTATAGATAGATATCTCTTAAAGTATCTGATTAGAAACATCAGCCTACTGTTGGTTGCAGTTTCAAATGGTCTTTCATCGTTCCGCACAGTGTTTTCTCATACTGCTTTTTTTAAAAAGTACTATAATTCAGTAAATTTTCACCATGAGTTTAAGTATAGACCATGAGTTACAGGATAGTTAATCCATCAAAACTTGCATTTCATTCTATATGGGTGATTTTAACTATTACGTTGTGAAAGACTTCACAATTGAATATACCAATTACTAATCAGTTCACAAGGCTCTGTTTCATCCTCTTTGAATATTTATTTCTGCTTAATCTGGAGAGAAACCTGCGTGATGGGTTTGACTTTCTATTAGGTATCTACTTTAGAAACAGAACTGCTAAAATGGCATGGTAAGACATCTATTCAAAACAGTCTAGTTCTGTGAGAGATACGTAATGCTTTCATGTATGGTGTCTGCCTCAAAAACTGTAGTTTTTACTGTTTTTCCCACAGCCTGCCCACTACTCAATTCTTGACAGGGGATTGACATTCCTGACCTCCCAGTGGCTCCAGTCAGCCAACATTTTCTGATCAAAAGAGAATAGAGCTGGATTCAGGCAAGGACCTCATTCTCTGGTGAGGAATGAGCATAGGAGGCATTTGAATGAGGACTCCTATGAGTTAATGACCTATGATGGATAAATTAAGTGTAATGCTCAGTACAGTAAAAACATAGTGACTTTTCTGAATGGTGTTTTGCTTGTTTGTTTGTTTGAGGGGGGAGGAAAGGGGACACAGATGGATCTCACACTCATATTTTGTGATATTCAGTCACATCATGCAGAAACAGAATTCTCTCAGAGGAGAAAGCACCAATCTACTCTGTTAAACAGTTCTGCGGGACTTTCTGGATGAATGTTTTTGATGGTGGTACATTCTTACAGCTTGCTTGTGTCTCAGGTACTTCTTGGTCAATGCACAAGGAGTCGAACTGAGCAGCACGAGGAACAGTGTCATGGGTTGTAATGTTTAAGCAAAAGTCCTGTGCTCTTAGCACAGGTGTTGGCTGACAGGAGTAATAAGGAGGATTGAGAGGGAACTTTGTGACTGATATTCCCAGTGCTGTCCATGTAAGAAATCAATTTATAGTTGAGTTATAGAAAAAATAAATACATGTGTTTTTAAATGGCACCAGTACAAGATTTCAAATTCTGTAGGATTCATCTATGGGGTTTCCACAACATAGTCACGCTGTTATCACTGGCTAATAATTCTGTGTGCGAGTGCTTAAAAAAATCTATGAGATAATAGAAAGGAAAACTAAGGTAGAAGGGAAGAAAGAGGTTTGACAATTATTAGAATGTGTCGCAGCAAAACAAGTTTTTCATTCTAAATACCATCATGGCAAAGTGGTAATTCACTAACTACTCTCCTGAGGCAATGTCTTCATTGCGAATTTTTGCCTGAAAGTAGTGGAGAGTAGGATTGGGTATGAAATGTTTATTATTTATGAGAAATTCTGAACTGCCAAGAGTGTTGACTTCCAGATGTTTTTCAGACTGTAGGTTTCAGTGACCAATGACACTTTAAACAGTTTAAAACCAAGTTCATCCCATGACAGCATCTTCATCATTAGTGCACTGACTGTTCTGGGGTACATTTGTTTCTCATTTTGACTAGGTATTACTAGGTATTACAACTCAGCATTAAAAAAAAAATCCTTTATCAATCAGAACTTAATAAATTATGTTCCTACAGAAAATTGTTTTACTTAACAAAATGCTTTTGTCAGAAACAGCCCCAGCAGCGTAGACGTGCAGCAGTGGTGATAGCTGTGAGTGCCATCAGCTTTAGCCAGGCCATGATTTCAGAAGTGCCACTGATTTTCAAAACACCAAGATTTCACCCATTGTAGGTGTACACTTGCAAGCAACATACTGTCAGGAAAAAATTAATTTCTGTGGCTTTGGAATTTGAAAACAAATTTAGGCTGCCATAATACAGACAATTTTATACTAACAGCCTGATTATAGTGAAATGTTTGCAAATCTGAGTGATTATTATAATAACCTTTTCCAACTGAAGTTTTATATGCCACAAAAATACCATTGCTGTTAGTTCACAAGCAGATTTCCTAATTATACTCATTTTCCATCTCAGCTCTCTACATTTTTTCTGGTGTTAATCATCGTATTTTGACTTTAAAATGCTAGAAACCGGAGGGTAGATGTATTGCAAGGAACTATACATGGTCATCTCCATCCTTAGCCTCACCCCCCCCACACCAAAAAAAAAAAAAATTTAGGACTGTATTGGCTGTAGAAAGTGAAGTCACAAACTTATTCTATACCAAGGACAACTAAAAATTGGACACTTTTCAGAAAATACATTTAGTAGCATGTGTTCTCTTTCTGAAGTGACCAGACAGTTTTCTTGATTGATAGAAAAAAAAATTACAGTTTCTTAATTGAAATTGAAATTAATTGTTAAAATCTATAAATACATGGGGTTTTTATCTTCTCCTTCTCTTTTCAGTTGTCAGTTTGCCTGTTACTTCAGGTCAGCCTGCTAAAATAGGAGTAAAGTCTAGAAAATGCCTGATAAAAAGTTTAATCTACCAAGAAAGTACTGTGAGGTTCAGAGAGATGCAGAGGCAGTGTGAGCTCTCCTCTGTTAATTAAGTGGAATAGGACAAATATATCACAGAAATGGGAATTTGCTGTCTGATTCCCTGTGCTTGTGTACCATAGCCAGCAGATGGTGCATAGCATGTTAGCATGGCAGAAGCCAGACATATCCTACAGGATGAGTGAAAATGTTTTAAATACCTGAAGGTGGTATCTTAGGATCAGCTGCTTTTGCTGGCCACTTGAGTTTCTTTCTGTACACCCCCTGATTCTTAAAACTAATAAACTCATATTAACTACTCTAATTTCTCTAATAATATTCCCTCTCCTTGTTGATTCATCTTTTCAGAAAGCTATGTTGGAGTCACTTAGCAGTGTCTATAAAAAGAGGGGAAAACATGGAAAGGCAAAATAAGAATTTTTAATGAGTAGCTGTGTTTTAGTAGTTACTGTTTATCTTTGTCACTAAAATACTATACAAGCCCTACTGGGCAGTATTCAAGCTTTCTACAGATAAGAAGACAGCTGTATCTGTGTTAAAAGAG